GACATATCATATCCAGTGTTACGTATACGAGGTATGGGGAAACGTATTAGTGACGTATTAGAATAATGTATAAGCAAAAGTCGGTCATACGAGAAGCGAGCCAAGTCCAGTTTACGCGGTGGAGGTGCCTTGAACCCGGACCCATGGTTAGGACGTGGGCAGATCGGACGTGCGTGGGCCAAAACAATCCCCTTGCTAATTAAGATAATCGCGCGATAATTCAGTCACACTTCGTTATAGACATCGACATGTCGTGATATCTGCCACTTCGAGGAAGCTCTCGGATACTTACAAAATGAGGTACGAATTGAAACTGAAGACCGTAAGTCAGGGCGTAACGAGATAGAGCTAATTATTGGACGGTATGAGAAACCAGGTCAGACAAAAATGTAGAAAAATATGTAAGCGATTAGAAGTATGAAAATAGAGAGAGAGAGCATTGATAAGGGGGTAATGATAAGGAGCAGGGTGCGCTGCAGCGGAACGAAACATGTCCGCCGACTTCTTCCGACAAGCAAACTCGACGATTATGTCGCTGGGCTAATTGTCGTTGTAACTACCTACTCGAAGCAACGACGAGAGAGGCCGACTGGTTGATTTATCGTAAAAAGGGCACAAGCGGTGATTAACTAAACGAGGGACTTGAATTTTTTTACGGGCGACGAATTTCAGACGAGATTAGGACGTTAAGAACGGCGCCAGGAGGGAAGTGGATACGCAGGACCACCGCCCTCTTCCGGAGAGAAAAAGAGGGAGGGAGGGAGAGGAAGAGGGAGGAAGAGAGAGGAAAGACGGCGATTAAGTCGGCAGGCTAATTGCCGGAGTAACGGCGGCGAGTGTCGGCGGAGCTGACTAATTGCCGAAAGGCCGCCATTAGGGCGAAAATTGCGAGTCCGGGGGAAAATCCGGAGGCGCGATTAAATTTCTCGCCGGGTGGGCCCACGGCCCTGGGGGGTCAGTCGGGCCCTAATTAGCAATTAGTCATTTATCTCGCTCGAATCGCGAGGTCGTTGCGCAATTTTCGAGGCGCGCGCCACCGGGCTCTCGAGGGCCCGGCCGCCATCTTGGTCCCGGGAAACGAAGGGGCCGAGAAAGTACCGAGAAATTATCGAATATTCCCCGCTCGATTAACGTCGCGAAGACGCAATTACCTTCGACGCGTGCACGGTAATTATTTCCACGGTGCAAGCGTGTAGGTGCGCTTGTAAGCGCGAGCGCGCAACCTCCAACCCGGAGGCGTAACTCTCGAAATATACAACGCGAAGAAGAATGGCTGCCAAGGTTTACGAGCCGGTAGGTCCTCTTCGTGGTGGCACCGCGATGTGACACGCGTGAAAATGGAATTTATGGCGGCCGCTTTTCGGGGCCCGAGGGGCCCGAGGGGCCCCCTTCGCGGCAGCGCGCAGAGCCCTCGACAACGATCGTTCCGAAAAATCCGACGCAGGAAAAATCGTTACCCGGGGGTTTGATCGAGTTTTCTTTTTCTTTTTTTTTTTTAATAATTTTTCAGAAACTTTTCCTCGAGAAACATCGTCCGGTCGTTAATAACTAGGACGCCGATTATTAATTCCCCCCGCTATCGCGATAACTTGCGAAACGCCGTCCCACCTCGTGACATCGTTCCAAGAAGGGGGTGGGCATCGCGGAGAACAATATTTACCGTCCGGCGTTATTTCCCAACCGCGTCAAGATCACTCGGGATTGTCGCTTAATAAACGACGGTCATGGGAGAAAGTTTAATCAGGACCGGACGGAATGCTAAGCTGACAAAGTACATTTCGCGGGGGGTCCTTGCACAACAGGACCCGCGGTCTCTCCCAGTCGACCTTTAGCTTTTGTGCGGCGCATCGGCAAATTCGCCTCACGATCCTCCGAGAGATACTCGGCCGATACGAGTTGGCGAAGTGCTCAACCTAATTCCATCTTACATGTCTAGAACGAGAAATCGCCATCTTTCGGCTTGGCCGCAAAGGAGATAGAGAGAGAAAAAAAAAGAAAGATAGTTTCTAGTAGAAAGAAAAGTAGTCCCGGCGAGACACGACCGTCGAATTTATAGGGGGACGAGCGCGCCTCCGATTGCCTCGAAAATTTTCGAGGCAATATTCGGAGGGGATTTTTTCGCGAGCGGCGATTTCGAGGTTATGTCGGCGGGTCGGACGGAACGGGATGCCGAATTGACATTCATCGGCGCTAGGCCACGGTGGCGGAAAGCGTCGATGAGAGGAAGGAAGTCGGACCGATTTGTATTCAGGAGCGACCGACCGCCGGCCGAGGGGAGGAATCGAGCCAAGGAACTCAAGTGACCGAGTGCTAACTAATAATCGATTGTCTAGAATCGATTCTACCGACAGCCGCACGTAGCGAGTCGAACGGGACATCCTCTGATGCTCTTCCTTCCGCGCGAGGATAATCGTTTTCACGGTCAATAGCGACAAAGAGTCGATCTTTAAAAGTAGAGAGCTATCGAGGTGGCGCGAAGTGGTCCCGAAAAGCGTCGCCCAGGAAAGTGGAACTCGGGTCTTCGCCTAGAGACAGTTCGGGAAAAACTCGTGAAACCCGGGAGGACCGCGACCGGAAACGGTAGTGACGTAAGGCGAGCGGGAGGTGGCCCTCGCGATTCTCGGTTTCGTCACCGTGACGATAAATAAACCCCACACACGACAATTCCTCGACCCACGCGCCATTGTGGTCGGGGCAAATCGGTCGGCCACCTGGTGCGAGAAGCGAACGTCAGCGGGCCCAGTGGCCTTCCTTCCCCTCGTTCCCTGCGACCCCCGTGTCTCGTCCCTAGATAGGAAGCCGAATCGTTTCTCGACTGCCGAGCACCTGATCGCGGCTCCGGCACCCGAGAGGAACGGGGCGAAGGGCCGCCGCGCGGCTGCTAGTCGGCCAGGCGCCGTCTTCGAGTTCCTCCACCTTGCGACTTTGAGGTCGCCCCAGGGCCGACCTGACTCGAATTTCCGGCGGCTCGACACGGATTCGTCTTCTAGGCGAGTGAACCATTCTGCCTATCTTCTGAACGACCGCAAAAACGTAAGGGGACGTCAGGAGAGTCCGATAGTAACGCAGTCTGGATAAGAGCCGAAACCCCTTGACCGGTCCCTTTCCGTCCCGGTTTGGCTCAACCCTTTCCGGCGGCGGCCGGTGCGTCATCGATATAAATAAATGGCGCGTTATCGTTGCATATTCATACCCCGACGGGCCCGCGGGCCCGTGGGCGAACCGGATCGAGATATGTCGAATCGAAGCCCCGCGTCGGCGCGTATAACGCATTGAAATCGGCGTTCCTACATATCCGAGCACACGCGAAACGGCCGACCCGCGCGGGGAGAGACTCGCGCCGGCGCGCCTGCGGCCGGTCCCACACGGACGAGCCGCACGCGCGCGCGAGCGGGCCCACTTACGGCCCACGCGCGTAACACGGTGTTTTATAACACCCCGTCGAGCCACGCGCCCCCACGATCATTTTCAGCACCGGTTTTTCAGCCGAGAACCGGCCGTCGACCCTCTCGATTCGATCATCGATTCGGGCCCCGATCGGGCCCCGATTAGATCGATATCCCGGGCCCCGACTCGTCGATGTCGACCGATAGATCCGAAAAACCCACTTTACGGCGGAAACGCTCCGCTCCGTTTAATGATTCTCGAGTAACGCGCCGAGTAATGGCGGGCCCTCCCCTCTTTTTCCTCGCTTTGCCCTTAATTAATTAAAAGTCGTTACGGTGTGTACTTCGAGACTCCCTTTATGAGCGCACTTCGCGTCAATCTCTCCAGGGCCGGAGGAATTTCCCTCGGGCGTTCTTTTCGATATTAAAGAAACTGGGATGCGGTACCAAAATGGCCGCCGGTCCTCGTTTCGACGATAGTTCGCGCGCGGTCCGTTAAGGGAAGCCTTAATCGACGGATCTCGCAGCTCGTTGCCGACCTAGTCAGCCGATCGATCGATCGAATCGATTAAGGAATCGATTACCGCAAGTGCGGGCGAAACGCGGCGTTATAACGGAATCGAAATCTGACGCGCTGCGAGCGGAAAGCGAAGGTAGTCCGGCGTCCACTGCGCACCCCCCTGAGATATATGCATATCAATTTTTTTGACGCATCACCGACTTTTTTTTTTTTAATTCTTAAACATTAAATTATACATAGTAACCCGCGCTAAGATAAATTAGAAGGTAAAAAGGACCATGAGAAAAATCGGAAAGGGGGTCATTTGCTGGCTTTGTAAAAAAAGGAGAAAAAGGGGGCCCTTCGGGGTCTCTCGCTCGCGATTGTCCACGCAAAAGCGTAGGTAATCGGCGGTGATATCATCGTTATAAATAGACACGCCTCTTGCAGATCGCGTGTGTGCACGCGCGTAGGCATTTTCACGTGCGTCCACGCACACGGCCGGTCTCCTTTCTCTGGCTCTTTCTCTCTCTCCCTCTTTCGACATGCCGGAGTAAGAAGTTAAGGGAGGAGGCGTATTTTGGCTCCTCCCGAGGCTGACTGGGAAATGGGCCTTAAGGCCCCGAACCTGCGGCTCGCAAAAACCGGGAATTCACTTAACCAAGCTTCTGGGCCGACTTCTACCCTCGGATGCGTCGCTTCAAGGTGTGGAGAGACCCTGGCAAGTGCAACTGCAGCTGCAGTGCGGGGCCCGTTGGGCCACGACCGGAAACGGTCGCAATGGGCCCGTTAATCGACACTTTGCATTCGTTATTCCGGACGGACTGCTTCCTTCGCTATCGGCGCGACGAGAAACGACGGAAGGGAATGTCGATTAACGGAAACGTTGATTACGGGCAGAGACTGCGTAGCACGGTTTACTAACAATGTGTTGGGGACCTTTAAGGTGTTGCCGAGGAAATTTGCAAAATTCCCGAAATTTGCGAATATTGCCATGATTGCGAATATTGGGAAATTTGCGAAATCTGTAATATCTTAGAGTTTAGGCGCATCTAGGTGGTATTTGTTGCAGGGTGGACGAGGGAATGAGAAGATGAAAAAGGGAAAAAACTCACATTCTTTGTTGCGGTCCATGGCGTGCTGAAGAGGCGACTCGTCGACTTCCGCCTTGGGCGGCGATCGGTTGCCCTCCGCCATACCCGGGGGCGACGGCGAGCCCTGCTTCGGCTTCTCGTTGAACTTGTCAACCCTCTGCGTCAACGTCTTCGAGGTCTTCTTCCCGTGTCCAGGAACCTCCCTGGAAGCGGGCACCCGGAGGTTACATTTTGGAAATTAATCTTTCACGCGGCGGACGGGGCAAAAGGAGCAACCAACGCTCGAGGCGACCGGGCCCGGCTTTTTGCTGGGAAGACGAGTCAATTTTCGCCGGTTCCGCGGATTTCACGGGCGTGAGATCACGCCACGCGGAAAAAGAGCGGCCCGAGGAACCCGAAGAGAGAGGGCGCCGAAACGCGCGCGACCAGATAACGCTCTGCTTCTTCTTCTTTTTGTTTTTTTTTTTTTTAACTACCGGGCGAGGATGCCGAAGAGCGCGTAAAACGGAGCGGAGCATTCGAGGCGGAGCGGACGTTCCGGGCAGGAATCGCCGGCTGGAACGGGACTTAACCGAGAGGATTATAGTTAAAGATGGACGCTCGAGATCGCGCACCTGTCCTCCTTGAAGTCACGCTTGTCCTTCCTCTCGGACTTGTGACTCTCCTTATTCTTGAAGGCCTCGGTCCTTTTACCTTTGGTCTTGGATCTGGCCTCGGTCCTGGAGGACCTGTGTCCTTGCCTAAGGGTACCGGAGGTACCCGTGGTACCGTTGGTACCGGTCGATCCCGTCGTGGTACCAGTGGTACCACCGGTCGCCGGGCTGCCCGACGAACCCGAGGAAGACGTCGAGGCCCTGGTGCTCGTGTAGTCCTGCAACGTCAAAAGCGACCGTCGATTTTATTTTTCAAAATCTCCTGAAAAAAATTCAAGGCAGCCTTAAATCGGTAATCTCACCTTAAACCAATCGGGGTAAATGGCGCTGATAGTGTCCAGAAGGTCCTGGTCGAGCTGAATCCGCCAAAACGGAGAGCCGTTGTCCAACCTGTGGCCAGACTCTGTAAGTAAACAGAGGAATGATGAGAAAGATTAAAGGACGACGCAGTCAGACCCCCAAATTTCGCTTAGGACCGAGTAGAGGCTCCACCCCGAGGAGGGACTTAACTCGACGCGTCGGCGCCGAGGAACCGTCCCTTTGTTTCGAAAAGAAAAGAGGAAAAGAAGCACCGACCCTCGGACGCCGAAGAGGTGCTCGTTCCTTCGGGAACGAGAGACCCGGGGAACCGAAGGAGGATCGCAGCCGCGTCCGAAGAAGTGGCTGAAACCCTGAAGAGGCCATTTCCGGTCCACGAGAGATCCTCGAATTTTGTCCCGGAGTAACGAGTCCCTCTTCGCCTTCCGGGCCTCTCGAAACGGGGTACTTCGAGGGGTTCTTCGGGTACGCAATTAATTTCCCTGCCAGAAAGTCTCGCTCCTCTTCAGGGACGAGGTAGCTTCGCAGGTCGAAAAGTTTCGCGCGTTCCCGTGCCTCGGGGTATCCCGAGTCGGGGCCCGTTCCCTCTGGACCCGGTGTCCCCGGAGTGAAAAATGAGCCGCGGGTTCTTCTTTTTCGATGTCGCCTCCCCTCTCCGGGGAGTTCCGGCTCCGGGCCCGGGGCATTCCGGGAGGAGCGCAAAAGTCATTTCTTCCCCGTAAGGCCTAATGGCGTCCAATCACCGTTGGTACCCGCCGGGCCCCGTGGGCCCCCATTGGGCCTGCGTCGGAAACCCGCGACTCGCGGAATGCCGGGGCCCGATTTCTTCGGCGCATTCCGCGGGATTCCCTCTCTAATTTAAACGTCGGGGTCCTGCTCTCGGCATCTCGGTCGGGGCCCGCCGAGGGGAGGGGCACGGTGTCCTCCTCCAGGGGGATCACCTCGGACATTGGCAAAGTAAAGAGTTAAAAGTTAAGCCGAGCAGACCCGTAGGACGGGGACCTCGTTACGACGGCATTCCCGGAGCGGGCGAGACGCGTGCCCTGCCTTCGAGATCGCGCGGGGACCGATGAGGTCCGACGGGGCCCGACGGGGCCCGACCGGAGGGACTCCCGAGGGACCTCTCGCTCGCCGAAATCCGCCGCACTTTTCTCGGACTTCCGAGTTCCCCCTGTCTCCCAACACCCCCGAAGTTCCGAAATAATCGACGAGGGTACCCAACGGGTTAGCCAAAAAATCTCAACGATTTTTATTCCTGACGTCGCGACGTCGCCCGTCGGAGGTGGTCTAACCTCAACTCGGCAAATTATGCGAGCGCTCTCCATAGCCTTGGTACAGGGAGAAAGGGAGAGAGGAGAAAAATGGGCGGGGGGGACAAGGGGTAAATGGTCAATCAGTATGCTCTCGCAGAGATCGCGTCGTTGTAAATCAACCGGAGAATCATTCGCGAACATAAATCCAGGGGTTCGTCGATGCGAGATCCATGGCAGGCCTCTTGGGCACATTAGTTAACTTATGGCCGCGAGTTGAACGAGGAGAGTAGGACAAAAAGCACCCGCGACGACGCCTAATAACGCCGATTCGATGACTCCGGGGACGATTCATCAAGATCCGCATCTCTAGGTCGTAGATCGGAGGCTGCGGTTGGGATAGGCCGGGAAGTAAGGACGTTCGATGGGAACGACTCGATCGAGGACTCGACGATAGAAATCGATTACCGGAACCGTGGATAATTTGTTGTAAAAAAAAAAAAAGAAAAAAAAATGAAAGTCGAAATTTCGACTCGTGCAGCGCAAGGACGACGAGAGATGCTTTTCCAGGCGGCATCTCGGGGCCCGGCTCGAAGAGACCGTCCCAGGGCCCAAGGGACTCTCCGGGTCCCAAGAAAAAGCGTCCCCCGGCAAACAATAACGAAAGAGAGCTGGCGGTGCGGAAAAAACGAGGAATACCCGCGGCATATTCCGCGGAAGAGGCCGAATGCGAAATGCATTCCGCGGGAGCAGGGGGGGGGGGGCACCGGTCGCCGTTGAAATCCGAGCAAATAAATCTCGCGGGCCCCTTTCGAGCGCATCAGCCCCCCTCCGTCTCTGGGTGGGTCCTCCTCCCTCGAAACAGGCCCCGAGCGGGCCTCGCGTGTGCGTTTCGAGTTTTACGTCGAGTTTAACGTCTGCTCGGGCTCTGAGTCACTCTTCGGGGGGAACAGCCGCGAAAAACCGCGCGGGGCTCCTCGGGAATGTCGTCGGCATGTCCAGGACAGGGCCCGGCCCGGCCCCCTCCGAAGGATCTCTTCGGGGCACCCGCGGACCCCTTTTTTCCGACTTCGGGGAACCGGCCGGGCCCCTCGCGACCGGTCCCTCGGATTTTCGCCCCGAAAACCTGCGCTCCTGCCGTTGGGCCCTAAGGCCCGACGCGATCTCGCCCCACCAGGGAAGGAAATTTTAAGCCATCCCTACTGACCTCTGGCCAGATATTTAATAAGCCGATATCGAAGGATTTCCCTCGCCATCCATCTCGAAGTCGACGCTGAAGAATGTTGGGGCCCCCGACCTGCAACCTCGAGGACCTCGGAATCGAAGGGCCTCTCGAAGAATGGATGCAGAAGAGCTTCGCAAAGAATCGCCGCGGCATCGTGTCGAACGGGGTTGGTTACCCTTTCACGGGGAGTAATTAAGTGGGCGTCAAGCGCTACTTGAATGGAGCTTATTAAGGCCCTATAATGCACCGGCGACCCCCGAGTCAGGAGTACCATTCTTCAACATTTCCGAGTCTGGGGTCGCGACCCGGAAGATCGACGGGGTCCTATTGATTTCGAAACAATGGGTTACGAACGATAATTCGTCTTCTATGCCCCATGGCCGGATTAATTTCGATTCCCCCTGGCGGTGCCTCGATTTTCGATCGCGTTCACCTGGGATTATTGTGCTCGCTGGCTTCGGGGAAGACTCCCTGGGTTCTATTAATTATTTAAGACTTTTTCCACGGACGCGTTGAATTTTTTTCCTAATATTCAGTCGAGCGCGTCGTGGGTGGTTCTCGATAGGCGAGCGAGAAAGGCGCCGCCCCGTTGGGGCCCGATATCGCATTCCGTTTCATTACCGGGTAGTTGATTCCCGGAGCAGCGCCTTCTGGTTCTCACGGGCCCATAGGGCCCATAGGGCCCCGCGGTGTCCGAGTACAAGGAGGATGAATGGAGGGAGGGCCCCGGTCAGCGGGCAGTGGGCAGCGGGGAAACAGAAGAGCAGGTCTCGCGCACAATGGCCGTGCTTTGCCGCTCATTAGAGGTGAGGTCGTAGGTCGTGAGGAATCGGCGCTTTGTGCCTTTGGGCCTATATACCCTAGTACGATGTCCACGCACCGGACAGAGGCCGGGGCCTTTTCTTTAGCGGGCCCCGAGTACACACCTCGCCCGAAGAAAGGATGCTTCGATGCAACCTTCCTTCCCCGAGCCTGGACTCGCATTGTAAGTCCCCCCGAATCGTCCCAAGGAAACTGTGCCCCGATAGGGCCCAACTTGGGTCCTACGGGCCCAATGTACCTCGACTCGCGACATGGGCGTCGCCTTATCGGTCGCGCCGAGTGATATCGAGCCCGCTTTCTCGACAATTCGACGTCTTCATCTCTTCCTGACGGTCGTGGGAATATGGCCGGAGGGTCGTCTAGAGAACGCGCCTCCTATTCCCAGACGTTAGCGGAGATTTATCGCGCGGAAACGACGAGAAACGTCGCCTAGGGACCTCATAGGCTTACGGTGGCACGACCGGTCGCGGGGATATCGGTCGGAGTCGAAAGAGTGGTATCATCCACACCGCACCTCTTTGTTCCCGCACGGCCCACTCGTTGCATTGAACTCGCGAGATTATGAATTGCCAGGTACGTGTTACCTATGCGCAAACGCGTGCACGTGGGCGAGGTTCCCGTAAGTGCTGAGCGAGATGCGTGCGCGTGTGGGGCGAATACCCTGGGAACCACACACGAAACCACACACTGGTGTGCGGCTCGGGGTGCCTCTGATGGGTACCGATGCCCAATAAATGTTAACGAGCTGGTGATCGGTGAGCTAGAGGGTGAAAAAGGGTTCGTAGGACCTCGAGATCCAGTTCAAAGATTCACACACCTTCTCTGTGTGTGGAACCACGGTCTACTTGTCACGATCTCCGATTTTAAGGTCGCCACGCGTCCTCCCTCTATCGTTAGACACCTCGACACTTAGGAAATCCCCAGACCACGCGGAAAACACCCGCAAAACACACGCGAACCACACACTAGACCCCGAGACCACTTAACCCATAACCCACAGCTCCGTATATCTTCCCGACAATACGTCCCGATGAATTCAATACGTTCGCCCCACCCGACTTCCTCAATAAAGTCGGCCGAGAAATATGGCGCGGGTCTACGCGTTATGAATGGTACTTTTTAGAGGGCCTTTTTTCATGGGTCCGCTCCCGAAGAGCCCGCTGCCAGGAGCTGAATGATCACCTGAGGAGGCGTGGGCGACCGAGGCAGACGAGTGAAAGAGTCGATTTTCTCCGAGGATAGCCAAAAGGTTATCCACGATTATCAATTCTCGCGAATCCCTAGCAAAGAACTAGGCAAACGCTTGAAGACTCTTCCGGTTTAATAATTATCAGTGCACTGTATAGTCACAGCCTGGAGACTAAAGATTACGATCTAGGGCGTCATCACGATATGCATCCCTTTATCAATTAGGGGATTATTTCCCAAGGGGTCTTACGACATGGAGATAAGGCCCAGACATGTTCCTCGGGGGAACACCTTCGCCGGGGAGAGTGAATGGCGAATCGCGTCCTGCACTTGGCCGGGGTTTATAGTTAGAAATGACATCACCGACAATCTCGGCTTGTACATACACCTAGCACGTAATCGGAGAGCGCAGGCGTATCAGCTGTGTCCTATCTTATTTCCGTCTCCCTCCCTCGTCCGCCCTCTCCCATTCTTCCCTCTTTCGGCCCCCTGAGCTGCTTCCGCCTCCCCGAGGTCGCCTATCCGTCAACTATCTCCACTCCGATCGACTAGGTATAAACCGTGGGCACGGTTGACAGGCATAATTGACACGTACGAGGA